TTACTAATTAACCTGAAGGCTTTGTTATATCCAGGTTTGACTGTATTCAAAAAATCAAAAGATTTTATAAAATTTCCTGAGTTGGTAGGCATAGTCACTACTCAACTTTATCTAGTACTAAAGATAGGTTCCTAAAATTAAAAACGAGGACATAATTCAAATGTTCCTCACTATTAAAAAAGTTTTTTTTTAAATATAAGGTCAAAAAAAAACTACCTCAAAGGTTTTTTGCAATTTAGGTCACTTGATTCAAGTGTTTTTTGAATTATGTCTTTATTAAAATAATGAATAAATAATTATGTCCTTTCAAAAGGAATATAATTGATCTGTGAAATTTTATATACTAAATAGTTTAGGAACCCATCCTTATCTAGTATTATAATATTGGTTTTTAAATGTTTTACAATATTAATTAGACAATAATAATAAGCAAAAATAATTTTATTAAAGAATTGAAAAAAAAAATAAAATAAAATATTATTAAAGTTAAAAAATTTAAAAAAATTTAATTATTTAGAAAAATAAAAAAACTATTTTATATATAGTTTTAAGTTGTATAATAAATATTTATTTGTGTATGGAATATAAATATAAATTTTATTTAAACTAAAAATCTTTAAATTATTAAAAATTATATTAATCAATTTTAATAACTTTAATTAATTATGTTTTTTTTTTAATTATTTTTTTTTTAGTTTTATAAAATGATTTTAATTATTTGTTTAATTAAATATTAAAATATTTTATTTCAAAGTTTATTTATTATATAAATCTATAAAAATTCAAAGAATTTTCTAATTTTATAATAAAACACATAATCACGCAATCTTTGATATTTATTTATCTCAAATTATAATATTATTTCTTTTATAATTAAATTTTTAATATTAATTTTATTAAATAATAATAAAATAATAATAAAATAAAATAAGATAATAATAAAATAATGTTAGTGTAAAATATTACAGAATTTAATTATTCTATAAAAATATATTCAAACAGTTTATTTTTAAGTTAGCAGAATTTTAAATATATCAAGTATTGATAAGAAAACTGATGTATAAATAATTTATCTATTTAAAAAAAAATTTTTTTTTTGGCTGTGGAGTGAATAGTAATTGGTGCAGATCAAATAGTGGTAAGAGTACTGCATTTCTTATATTTCTTATTGAGCCTGATTGAAATTACTTAACCTTAGCAAAGTTCTCTTCCGCGGCGTAAATGTGAGAGCATCACATGTTTCTCTTGTGTAACTTATTATAAGTGTAAATAATTTGCACGTGATGAAATGCAGGGGTTATTTTTTGAAATAAATACTCGAGCAAATTTCTACTTTATGGTATGAAGGTTATAAACGATCTTTTAAATGCTTTTTCGAACGTAAGTCATTTCAAATTACAAGTTCTTCTGAGCTTGCAAACTGATAAGCGCGATGGTAGTCTAGTCAATAAGTTACTACCATAACCCATCGTGTAAGACTTCTGGTCGCACAGTTTGTAAGGGGTTGGTTAAGCACAATGGTAGTCTAGTCAACAAGTTACTATCATAACCCATCGTGTAAGACTTCTGGTCGTATCAGCCCTCCTCAAAGTACAACTTACAGTGTATTCAGTTGGTTTTCTATCTTATTAAAAAATTTTTGACTAAGAATATATATTTTGTAATTTCAATATATGTCGAGTTATTCGACAAAAATAGGTCCAACAGTGAATGGATGTTGTGTTCGTTTAACCCTGAACCGCTGGAATTATATCGATACTTGAATCATAAGATGAAATACTGCTAATAGACGCCAAAGCTTATTGAGCTTAGGGTGACTTGCATGAGGCGACGGTAGATAATTGTACGCGTCACTAGTAATATAAATAGAAGTAGGGTAACCTAGCAATAAATAATAATTGATAATCTTGTAATTTGTAATCTTCACTTAATAAAGGAATAAACGGTGATTTGCGCCTTTAATCTGCTACTCTAAAGATAAACTATTGTATCGCAGAAGATCCAGAGAGGCCGGAAAAGGAACTCGCGGCGTGGATCAAGTACCGGTCTAGTAATCAAGGGAAGTATTAAAGCCATCCGCCAAATCGTTACACGCCTTAAAGAGAGAAGACTTACCCCCAACACTTATGGTTGCGTGAGTGCTGGTCCCGGGATAGCGACAGACTCGCCGGAAATAACGATAACACTATGAACTCATATTTTGATGCTCTTTTATTCGTTTTAAATTTATCTGAAAAAATCCCAATGAGATAATGGCTTTATTTTTGGAATTCAGGAAAAATGGAAGGTGAGAACATGGATATACTTACCTTTTATGATATGAACTTTAATACATTTATTTTATGCCGAATGAAGTTTTCAATAAAGACTGGAATATGTATGTCGCGGAAAAATCAGCGACAATATCTGTAATGGCGTGTGTAATATCCAAAGATGTTATAATCGTGAGGTTTCTTCTCACTCCTTAATATTTGCATTATTGTCAAATTCCATTATTAATAATTGTCGTCATTACCCAATAACAGCAAACAAACCGATTTCCGATCAGAGATGGAAAAAATGTACTCGCAAGTGTCTTTCACAAAAAGAGTTAAGGCTGCTGTTCTTGAAAATTAATCAAAAGATGTTGAGTCAGGAACGGATGGTCAAAAAACTGAAGGTGGCTCAGAGAAAGATGATCGAAAAGAGGAGGTTACTTTTGAAGATGAATCAGAATATTTGGAAAAGATGATCAAAAAGATTTTGAAGGCGAGTTGGAAGGTTTGGAGAAAGATGATCAGACAATAGCCATAGACTGGCATATGTGGCTAGAAAAAATTCCGAAAGTCAGTAAAAAATTACCTATTATAAAAAATAATTGCTGAATAATCGTTTATGATCTGAACTTGTTATTCTTTATTCTCTTTTTTTTTGCAGTATCCGATTGAAGAAGCCTCAACTAAAATTTTGACATATACTGTAAATATACACCTGCAAATGGATTCGAAGAAATCATGATTAAGTATATCGGAAAAGTGCTTATGGACTTGTAAGTTATTTCGTCTCTCTAATGTGTAATACGTAACCTAATTCATGTATAATAAAATGTTTTGATCATTAGCATAAACAAAATAATCGATATTCCTGGTCATGTAATGACCATTGACGAAGTTGAAAGAGATTGGATTGTTAATAAAATATCTCCGCTATTTACTTATATGCAAGCGACGTTCGTAAGCAAGATTAAATTTCACTGATGAGTGCTGTTATTTTTCTAACTTATAAACTCATTAACTATTTAAATATTAATTGTAAACCATGGGATCGAACACGGTATTGAACCAACACAAGAACGTCTCGTATCCGAAGGCAATACTACAAACAAAGGTCGAATGAAAGCGGATGTAATTGGAGTCCGGCTTTCAGACAGCCGACAGGTTGGTTTTTTTTGGAAACAAGCGGTGCTCCAACAGACTTTTTAAAGGTGCACTCAGTTGAAGACACATGTAAGACGCTTCAAGAACGAATTGACTCCCTAAATTTAATGCTTTTAAACTATTTGAATTATGACGTAAGATTCGCGGGGAGAATTCGTTCACTTATGATTCAGGGATTGGTGAAAATTCTTTTTCTATTAATTGTTATTTTGATCAAAAGACAGACTTTCATTTGTTGTTTTTTCGACAGTTTTATCATGGGAAACCGACTAACTCTTAGAACAATATTTTTAAGAATTAAAGATAACTAAGGATGAAGAAGAATTTTCTGGATTTTTCCACTTAGTTCGGACTTCCTGTTCCAATTCATTGAAATATTTGAATTATGGAGTTCGTAATCGTATCCGTTTTAGAATTTCCAGATGTCATAAGGGAACTAATTAAGCATTTGGCAACCTCGCCTGAATTTTCAATCCGAAACTGCATTTCATGTTCAAATTATTAGTTTTATTTTATAAACCAGAAAAAAATATACGTATATTATTATTATTTGTAGTAGCGTTCATGTGAATTTCAAAAACAAAGTTACATAGAAACAGATTTTTTAAACGATTAAGACTAATAATTTCTAATCAATATACAGGGTAAGTCAAAATTTTTCAAATTAAAATACAATATATATATATATGTATGTATGTATGTATTAATATTTTAATATTTTTTATGACAAATATTAATTCTGGATAATCTATTGTATTAATAGAAGCTACAACTAGTAACAATAAGTATATTACTTTTTTTGAAATCTCAAGTGAAAAGTATTGAACAGAATATTTGAATGTTTTAATAATTATTAAAAAAGACATGCTTTTAATGACATAGCTAAATTAACAGATTAAAACAAGTTCAAACTATTAGTAAGACTTTTATCTCTTTGATTAATCTCATCTAATATGTCAATTCACATATGTAATATAAGGTTATACGAGTAAATTAAGTTAGCTATTATTAATAGTAGTTAATCAGCAACATTAATTCTATTAATATAAAAAGCATATAGAATATATAAATTAATATAGAATAACTTTGTATATAGAAGATACATGATATATAACTTATATATTAATTATTAATAAAAGATATATATTGTTACATAATTTGTTTCTTAAAAAAATAGTGTAATATAATATAATATTATTTGTTTTTTAAATAAACATGAATTTATATATTATGAAATATTGTTATACTTGATATTTGCTTAAAATTATTATTGTTTCTTGTTTAATTTTATTAATATTTATTCTTATAATACTTATGATTCTGAAATAATCTTTTTATTATTAAATTAAATAAAATGCAAGTAATTTTTAAAATATTACTACTCTACTTTACTTTAGAACATTATATAACTTAGTTCTTTACTTTATATAATTATTTTTGCCAAAGTATTAATCTGTATTTATTCTAAATATGTTAATTATTTCAATAAAAATATTTATTTTATTATTTTTTTTAATGTTAAGCAAGGTATTTCTCGTGATCTATATTAATAGAGTAATTGTGATGTTACATAATTAATATTAAGATACTAAGATACATCATTATATATGTCAACCTATCACTATTCTAAGTATATTTCTAATAAAAAAATCTTGAGACAAGGAAAAGAGAAAGTAACTATTTAGTTTTGGGGGGATAATGCCTCCCTAATAATTTATTTTATCCTGTACGGGCATGGATAAGTTTTGTGAAAATAATTGGAGAATAATGTTAGTTAGTTTGTTATTTTAATTTGTGTTATTGGAAATTGTGTTGTTTGAAGTTGTTTGTTATTGTTGTTGGAGTTGATGTTTTTTGTTTTTTTGTGTTATGAGGTCTGTTGTTGTTGTTGGTATTGTTATTGTTGTTATTATTGTTTTTTTTGTATTTGGTGTTTTGTGATATGTTGAGAAATTTTTCTTCTGCAATCAT